ATTATCGTGATCTCATCACAATCCGATTCCCATTGCACAAATCCAAGGACATCACAATATATGTATGTATTTATGCAATAGTTATAAAGTGATATACGCCAAAATATAATAAGCAAAAAGATTCTGTATCAAGTCACACGTGCCATCACTCACGTGATTGGCTTGCTGGGCACCTATGACTAGCAGGATGGAGATCAAATACCTAATATGGTAGGATCCATTAGGGTTAAGTTGATATGAGACCTCTATAAATATGAGAGAACCAAATGCCTATAGGTTAGAGGTTCTTTTTAGTTTCATCCTTCTATTCTCCTCTCCCTCTCCTCCTCATACTATAGCCCATATTTGGGGCATGTGGACAGTAAGAAGGGGCAGCCCCTTCTTGATTACGTGGTACGCATGAGGAAGAGTTTTAGATAACGATTTGAGGAGCATCTTCGTAGCCCCTACCGTGTGGATCACCACTAGAGAGGAGAAAGGTTGACCTTCTTCATCCTCACCTATAGATCTATAAGTTTTCAAGAATATACGATCTTCTTAGGTAATTCTCTTATACATAGTTTTTCGGTTTCACATGTTTTTTTGCACACTAACTTTTACATAACGATGAAATCTTCTTTTTTGTGAGAATTCTTGGATTTTTATTTTTTTATTCTTCCGCTGCGCATGTGATGTCACCCTAGATTTCTCAATAAAAAGGTGGTATCAAGTCGACAGATTATAAAAAACGAGCCCCAAACGAATTAGTGATAACTCTATAATTGATATTAAATGCATACGCAAAATACATATCAGAACAATGGATAATAGACTTGCATATATTACTAATATTTTTTTTATGTGCTTAAGTTGAAAAGTAATTTATTGAGCATGGGACAATTAGTGAAAAAAGATTATAAATCAATCTAAAAAATAATATTTATAAAATTGATGATGATAAAAGTTGAGTTATTGCTGTTGTTCATATGATAAAAAATAAGATATTTTCTTTAAATATTCATAATGGTAATCATTCTTGTTTCACTTCAACTATTAATCATTCTTAAAAATAAAATGTACAAATTAAAAAAGGTATTATATAGTCTAAAGCAAACACATAGACTTTGATATAGTCATATTGCTGCATATTTGGAGACACATGAATTTGAAAATTATACCTATGAACATATTTTATTTGTAAAATATGGAGAGACAGGGATGATATTAATTGTTTGATTATATGTGGATGATGTTATTTATATTGATAATGATGTTAACATGATTAATGAGTTTCAATCTTCTGTATAGACAAAAATTTAATATGACCAATTTAGGTTTGATAAAATATTATCTCGGACTTACAGTTGAGCAACAAGATATAAGAATTTTTATTTCTAAAAAAAGAACACTAGTGAGATTCTTGAATAATTTAAGATGGATAAAAACAAGTATATTAGTAATCCAATTGAAATAAGTTTGAAGCTTAGTTATGCTAGTAGTGGCAAGAAGATTAATAGTACTTTTTGCTTATACAAATAGATATTATATATGGAGTCAGTTTGATCAGCAAATATATAAATAATCCAACATAAGTTCATCTCTAAGCATCAAAGAGAATCCTTTATTATCTGAATGGGAACTCGAGACTTGACTAGAATTACTGATAGTACTTATGCAGGTGATCTTGATAGTGGAAAGAGCATATCTAGTTATGTTTTCTTTTTAAGATATGTAGCGACTTCGTGATCCTTTTAAGAAGCAATCTATCGTGGCAATATCAATTAGAGAAGTAGAATATATTGTAAAAGCAATATATACATCTTAAATTATTTGGTTCAGAATTACACGAAGGATTGAGTTTGGAATAAGATATGGCAACCAAATTTTTTATGATAATTCTTTAATCTTGAAATTATCCAAAAATCCAATCAATCATGTTAGAAACAAGTATATTGATACAAGATATCACTCCGTAAGATATCATGTAAGAATAAGGTGATTGAGATGGAGTATTATAGAAGTGAAGATTAAAACATTTGAGCACTTGTGAAGATTACTTAAAAGTTTCAAAAAACAATAAAATTAATGAAGGATGTTAGAGATTGTAATTTAAATTTGATTAGAATTAGATTGGGAGTTTAAGATAAGTTAGAAGATTGTGTTTAATTAGGAGTAGGAGACTCTTGATCTAAGGTTGGTTTAGGGCAGGATGTTTGAGAAAGTATTTTGCGAGGGCAACTTTAAGAGTAAATAAAATTATTTTTTTCTTTTATATCTTCACTTCTCAACCTATGATTTTTTTTTTAAATATCTTTCTCCCAAAAAATGATATCAGAATTTTTAAAATTTTTCTAACAATTATAATCCTCCAATTTATTTTCACATTAAATATGGGCTAATATTACCATTCACATTAAGGTGGATCTTAACATTGAGTCAATGAAGTTGAATTTAAACCGTCTGAGCCAATGAGAAGTTTATTAGAAATTAATGAATCAATTCCGTATCATCCCTCATTACCCAAGACTACATGTTTCTTTCTTGTTCTTTGCATCCGATTTATCATCGAGAGGAGGCGCAAGCCGCAACCACGCGTCTCGTCTGTTATCCTTTTCCTTTCCGGAACGTGCCTCGGGGCAGGAACGAACATTCACCGGAATGTGTCCACGTGAACAAAGAAAGGGGAACCAACAACCGTGTGATGGCACCATATTGCTCATGCCATACCTTCTTCGAATTGTTGTTGTACATATCATTTCAACAAGCATTGTTTTCATAAACAACTTTCTACGGAACAGGGCTTCGATTTCAAAGTTCCTTCGGCTGCATCTACCCGACACATAACAGCTTGTTCAGCATTCTCAACACAGTTAAGCATCCACGCAAATTGCTTCCCTATAGCAAAAGTTTCAAGATGATATGAAAGTGCAAGTTATTGGATGCTTACATAAGCAAATTATATATATCCGAACAAACTGGATGACCATCAGTATTTAAGTGTGTTTATCCAGGCGTCAGCATAGCATGATAATAATACTCAATCTTTTGAAGTGCCTCCTCCTTATCAATATTTCTAACGCTAAAGTCAGGTAATGCAAGATTTAGATCATCAACCATTTCTAATTAGGCTCCATCTGGCTGGACAAACGGGTTAGCAATTTCATCTGTACCATCTGTCGGTGACACCAGCATTACTGCTGTTCCTCTGCATATCTGCAAAAAAACGATACAGCAATATTGAAGATAGCCAAAAAAAACACTCAATGAAGACAGCAATAAGTATAAGAGTGTCGGGTACTCTTAAACCACAAGTGGTAATGAAGGTCTCTACAGCATACTTACTATTAGGCCAAGATGCCTGGTTTGATCAGTAGTCTTCAATGGATCATCAGGATCTGCAACAACAGAATAAGAACAAAATAGCATCATTTCTTTTATATCTATATCAGAAGAAAAAAGATTTCTCACCTGGATGTATATCATTCAATAAATGCTTAAACAAGAATTGTCGGGAGAAGCTAATCATGTGCACATACAGAAAATATATGTTGCTGTGGATTCACTAGATACAACAACAAAAATAAGCCATAATAACCCAGTTAATTGTGGTCGGTAACACTCAACAAGAAAAAAAGGTCTTCTCTCATCGTTGAGCTGCGAAGTGATTAGATCAGCTTTTAAAATGTGCACTATAAGATGCCGAGTCTTTGCGACATGATGGAAGTTATCTTTTGTGATCTGGGTGATAGGGTCTAAGTTACAAAAATAGCTTCTCTATTTACAGGAGTAAAGATTGTGTAAATTGATCCTTGTTAGACCTCACATCAGTAGGAGCACTTGGTCAGTTGTTTCACTATAAGCGAACTATTCAGCTGCTGTCAATGATGGCACTTAATAAAAACAAAAAAAAAGAAGATAAATATTGTCATCCTAGAAATAGCAAAATTAAACATGCAAAGTTGTGATACAAGTATAGTCAAGTTTGATAACCTACAACAAGCCAAAAAGCATAACAAATCTAGCATATGGACTTGTCTGTAGAAACATGTAGAATAAAATCAACTACAACGAGCCAAAACAGTGTGATCTGAGGAATCTTAATGTTTTAATCTTCAACCTCATTTACTTAGGCATACAAGATAACATGGCCATGGATGTCAATAAATCAAACAATGATAAACTGATCTAATATCATTCTAGAATCGCAAGAAATCCAGTAGCTTCTGTAAACACTTTGAATGACCTAGAATTCAACTACAACGAGCCAAAACAGTATGATCTGAGGACTCTAAATGTTTTAATGTTCAACCTCATTTACTTAGGCATGCAAGATAACATGGCCATGGATGTCATTAAATCAACAATGATAAACTAAACTAATATCATTCTAGAATCGCAAGAAATCCAGTAGCTTCTGTAAAGGAGCACTTTGAATGACCTAGAATTTGATAAAGTATATGATGCAAAAGATCAAGAGAGTGCAACCTGGGCAGAACAGTTAGAAGTGCAAACCTCAGATGACTTTCTGTTAACATGACTGGAAATTAATTTACCTCTCAGAAACTCTGTCGCTTCATCAAGCACCAAGTTTAGCAGCTGATCATAACCTTTTAAAGTTCCTGTCACTGAAGCAAGACAAGTAATCACCAAGATTATATGGGTTCAAAATAACATTATACTCGAAGCATAACATCATAAAGAAGAAGTGCTAGAATACAATCATTATTCCAAACTTTAGACATCCAGTTTAGCAAACATCTACCAGGTTCACTCCTCATACCACCATTAAGGTTTGCATGCAGCTAACAAATACCAATTTTCACAAGGAATGTTCTGGGGTTGGATTCAGGTTGTATCATTAGGAGACATATTCAAATTTATAGACCCATGATGGGGAGTGACACCCTGGGCTCTGGGTTGGGTATCATATTTTTACACATCGTCAGGTATAGATTTAGGGTCCATATGAAACTCAATAAGGTTAATGGATCCCAATAGAAGATTCCTACCTAAAATTCCGTAGTGGTTTTCTGGTTGTCAAGCTCCATTGGTATCCCTAAGTGACATTTTCTATCATTACTCTGGCAACTTACTGCCCTAAATGGCATTTTCCATTACTCTGGCTACTCTCTATTCAAGAAATGATTAAAATCTTAGAAGAAATGCAGCATTCTTTCCAGAAGAGCACATTTAACAAAAATATTGGAGTTGATAAAGCGAACATGTAGAGAATATTATCAGACTTATGGAAGAATTAGATACTAACATGACCATGAAACAAAAAAAAAAAAAGAAGCAAAAAGGTGCTCATCATTGTTATCTATGGAAGAATTAGATACTGACATGACCATGAAATTTAAAAAAAAAAGATAAGCAAAACGGTGCTTATCATTGTTATCTAGATCAACAATAAAGTCAACATCAGTATATCGCTTATTTCTCATTATCTGGCTGTGTCAAGAGCAAAGGCAACACTCACTTAACTAAGTCTTATTATTTGCCTGCTCCCTGCCAAAATGCTTTTAATTTTGGTAGACCATACCATGACAAAGCCTGAAACCACATGGGCCTTTGTTCCAAAAAAAAAAAAAGATTGTATCAAAAGTTACCTTTTCAAGATGGACAGTGACTTGTAAACCAATGTCAACTCATGCCTATATCCTTTATAGGAGTGTTACAATCATTCATATTCAAGCCTCTGGTGTCATCATCATGATCATCAACATATATCATGCAATTCCCTTGTAGCAGATAGCATGTAGAACACATTCAACCATATACAGTGGTGACTCAATCTAATGACACACCCATATAACATTACAACAACAAATCGGTAGATCTTCCTAATAGGAACAATAATCTGCACTGTGACATAGTCATAGATTAATTATAGTTTCATACTTATAGTCATCTCCTCATATCACATTGAGTTTGCCCACAAAAAACACTCAAGGAACTGTCACAAACCATCTCAAGTCTTTACACACATCTGCTGTGGAATGGCAAGTATATTATAAACTCAGCACTCATCATCTTCAGATGAACACTCTAGAAAATAATACCTACCAGTAAAAAAATAGTAATAGTAAATCGTATGGCTACCTAAGATTACAGACATCCAGAAAATATTTTTGCAAATGCATTAACTTGCAAGGCAAACTGTTGTTCAACTGTACCAAAGTACCAAAGAAAAAGGACATGTCAAGAGAAATTGCACTTCACTTGCATTTGTTGGTTTTGGTTTTCTTCTTGCTTTAATCACTGGCCTTGGAGTTTATATATATATATATATATATATATATACACATGTATGTACATGTACATTTATATATACATATCTATATATATATATATATATATACATATCTATCATTGATTCTTAAGAATTCCCTATAAATAACATTGATTGACTAAAATTGAAAATATCGTCCACTCCTATGACTTGTTTCAGGGATTACATATTAAACAATATAGTAACAAATACATGCTAGAATACAGTGCATTATTTGAACAAATTGAAGTTAAGCAAACATGAAGAAGTATAGATAACAAACCTTGTCTTCCCCCGGTTAGCTTGACCTGGACACCCTTGTCGATGAACTTTGCCAAATCCAAAACTGTTTCCTTCCTGCTTGACTAAACAAGCAAAAAAAAAACTGATTCTTGGATATAAATGAAGAAAATCAAAGCAAAGATCATTACCTAAAGGAATAAAGAGAATTTTGATAATTGGACAAGATAACAACATAGTTTACTTGCATTGATACACAAATTGAGAACCTGACATCTATTCATCAGAGAATCTTCTATGAAAATTTCATGTGTTAGTTTTGCAATGTGCAAATGCACATAATATGTCACTCAAGCAAGTACATTTATATGAAATAATCTATTATAAATTTACTGCATTCTTTATTTAGGGCAAAATTGATCAAGAAGAATATTTAATCAAAAAATTAACGTAACTTGTCAACTTCAAGCACCATATAGGAATACTCGGTTTGGTTTCCGAGTCTCCCTCCTGCAAGTGGATTCATTTTGTTCAGGGCATGAGGAACTAACTGGCAGTGCCTCTAAGGTACAGAAATACTACCAACACCGCACATCTCCAGAAGCAACCACAGACGAGAGACTATGACTTATATATAATTGTCGATGATGTAAATTCCTTAATTATACATAACAATCAGATTAAATGAACATATCAACCACTTCAATTTCAAGGATAGAAAAAACAAACTATTTTTTCAGTGTTATCATCAATTTAAATAGATATATCTCAACGTGTAAGATTAGTGAAGATAATTATACATGAGATCCATGTTTTGTAAAAACAAAAGCGTACGGGAGGCCTAATTTGTCCTGTGGAACCATCAGATGTTCCACCAGAAGAAATAATTGCTTAGGTTAGAAGTAAGACCATGTTATGGAGAAAATTATGCCTTCATAGTGTCTACCTTCTCACTAGTAAGTAAAGGCTAGTTTTATGGCCATGATGTAGTAGTAGAAGGTCAACCACCACATACATAGTATCCACCTAAATCAAATGTGATGGTCTCTATTCGGTAAAAGTATTCCATGATATGGTGAAACTGTCAGGAAAAGAACTTTTTCTATGCTACCTACCTAGTGAGAAATTTAACCAAAATTAAACTAACCACAGTGTGAGAAGGAAAAAGATGCTGTTCACTAAGTTCACAAATAGGTGACATATCAACACCATAAGACCTAAGGTTCCCAATACGTTACTATTTCAGATAATCAATTTACATATCCGGACAAAGGTATAATAATCATTTTAGTAGATCATCGCTTTCACGATAACACTACCATCATACAATAATCTGTCACTATAAGTTTAACACCAGTGTTGCAAAAAAAAAGAACAAAAATCAACAACTAGAACAAAGTATTCTTACCATCTTACACCACAATCTGCCCTCCCAAGTTCACCTTCACGATCACTCGCTCAAAAACTACACAAACACCTGGAGTCAGATCGCGTCCTAGAGTCAGCTCAAGAAGCAACAAAGAACATGCAAAAGATCTCTCGAAACCCTAACCCTAGCGACCAAGCATACTGAAAAATCGACGACATATTATATTTCTAAACCATGCAGATCACAAGAAGATAAAAGGGGGAAGAGTAAATTTGTGCAGTAAAGTCAAAGATTCACAAAATCCAATAAAGAGAGATCAAAAGGGACACAGATCATGATCGCGTGAAGAAGAATGGAAGAATAAGAGTAGATTGGAGAAAAAATTCACCTGTCTCAGTTGAATTTGAAGATCTTAGGATGGGTTTCGAAGGGGGCGAACTCTGGGTTTTGCGGCTCCACACCGATACAGATTTCCCGCTTGGAGCAGAGAAGACAATTGGTGGTAGGGCAGAACACGAGCCCATATGTGAGTCGGTAATAGCAATCGGGCCTCGCCTCGCCAACAAACATTTGGGCTCCGGCCGTTTTGACCCGGAACCGATTTATGACTCGGTTGGTTGTAACTCGGATCCTCATTTTGAATAGTCGTAACATTAGGCAGAGACCAAATCCATGCAACATTGTTTGTGTGTGTGTGTGCGTGCGCGCGCATGTTTAAGGGAGGCAGAAAGATTCAGAAGCGAGGAGAAATTGGCTGAGAGATAGACGATGCAATTGGTTGATTAGTTAGAGAAAACAGAGGAGAGGCCGAGGAATTGGTTGATTAGTTAGAAATTGGCTTTTGGAGTGGTCGTTTAACAACGGGAGCAGCAGTAGCTTCCCTCAACTGCAGGTGAAAACTAGCAGTAAGTTAATTGTAGGAAATCGCAGGAAACGGTCAATGTGAGTGATTTCTGGAGTCGGTAGGTGGTGGCTCTCGTAGACGCACGGGACCTCATGTAGGTCATTACGTCGAACGGTCACTGGGCGTTTGGTACTAGAGAGTAAATACAGGAGCGTCAAGGGGGGGAGCTATATAAACAACACTGAGGCACTGACCTCCTCCGTCTTCACTCCTCTTTCTGGTCAGACTTCTTTCTCCTCTTCTCCTTACAGCTCTGAGAAAGAAGCCCAAGATGAGAAATCTCTTCGCCTTCGTTGCACTCCTCGTGGCGCTGGCCGCCGTGGTCTTCCCTCCAGCTGCGGCCAACCAGTGTACCAACGTGGTTTACAGCTTCGTCCCCATGGCCGCACACTACAAACAGGCCACCCTCGGCCATAACAACACCTTGAAGACGGAGTTCCTCTCTCGCTACCATCTGAATCCGAGCGACGAGGTGACGTGGATGAAGTTGCTCCCGCGGAAGGCTACGCCGCCGGAGGTCACTGAGCTCGACTGGGCCATGCTGGGCCGAGGCGTGAGGCAGCCCGGGCTGACCTCGGCGGCCGGCGTAGGCAGCAGCAAGTTCTTGAAAGAGATGTCTCTTCATGATGTGCGTATCGATCCAAAGTCCGTTCACGGCAGAGCCCAGCAGACGAATCTGGAGTACCTGCTGCTCCTCAATGTGGACCGGCTAGTTTGGAGCTTCCGTAAGTTGGCCGGCCTACCGACACCCGGCAGACCTTATGGAGGATGGGAGGAACCTACCGGGCAGCTCCGGGGTCACTTTGTTGGTAATTAATTCACTCGATCAGACCATCCTTGTTATAAATCCACATTATAGTTAATGTCGCTTCAATCTCATGATAGTATACATGATGTTTTATAGTCACATATTTATACTATCATCTGATTGAAATAACTTTCTGCAGGGCATTTCATGAGTGCAACCGCGTTAATGTGGGCAGCAACTAAGAACGAGACAATACGTGAGAGAATGAACGCAGTAGTTGAGGCACTTGATGAGTGCCAAAGGAAGATAGGAACTGGGTATCTTTCAGCTTTCCCTACGTCGGAGTTTGACATCTATGAAGAAGTGCGATACGTATGGGCTCCCTACTACACGATCCATAAGGTACATGGACCGTGGTTTCACTAAGAATGCACATATACACACAGGTTTTACTGATTCATTGCTGCATGTAATGTACAGATCATGAATGGACTGGTGGATCAGTACGTGAATGCCAACAACGTTAAAGCACTAAAAATGGCGGTCTGGATGGCTAAATACTTTGGCAACCGTGTGGCAAACAATATCAAGAAGCGTTCTATTGCCTGGCACTGGGCAGCCATGAACGAGGAAACTGGTGGCATGAATGATGTCCTCTACAGGCTATACACAATCACGGTACATGTCGCTGAAGATTTCATTGTCTGCTTACAATAACTTGTCAATGAGGATCTCGTTGTAGGATTCTTGTTCCTTCTCTGGACCTCTGGCAGAAGAGCCGATTGGCTTACTAATATGAACTGATGATGATGCAGAGAAATAAGAAACATTTGGTGCTGGCACATCTTTTTGATAAACCATGTTTCCTCGGACCACTTGCAGTGCAGGTAACATATAGTAAGTAGTACTGTGAGAAAGCAAGTAAATATGTCCTCAATCAAACTATATATCTTACTTCTCTGTCCACTTCTTTTATATTTTTCTGAGAAAAGATAAGGCTGCTGATATCATATTTGCACAGCACAAGAAGTCCTTTCGATTTGAGGATTGCATGCATGCATGATGTTACAGAATTGAGGGTAACTTGTTTTGCAGGCTGATCTCCTTTCCGGACTACATGGTAATACACACATTCCAATAGTGATTGGGGCTCAGAGGCGATATGAAATAACTGGAGATATTCTCTATAAGGTATATTTTGTCACGATTCGGATCGGATGGGTTAATTTACCTATCAACTTCGTTTGATCTAAACCACTGACCAAAATAATTAAATTAAATTTGATAATAATATACTTATCAATTCTTATAAATCAATATTAATTTTGTCCATGTGAAATTAATCAGGAGTGTTACACATTTAACGATAATATCAATTATAATGTTATAATGTCATGCTCTTCTAGGCGTGTATATGGATCTGTATACGAGTTTCTCAAATCCTTTCTTAACCTCATGGGATCTTAAATGATAGGAAATTGGAATGACATTTATGGATATCGTCAACTCCTCCCATGGATATGCGACGGGTGGAACGACAGTTGATGAGCATTGGTAAATAAATGGTAGTAAATATTTGTGCTACGTTGAATCTCCATTACATCTCGATGTTTGATCTCATTTGTACGTGCAGGAAAGAACCGAAACGTTTAGCGAGTTACTTGCAGACGAACACTGAAGAATCTTGCACGACCTATAACCTGTTAAAGGTTTGTCACACTTGCACATGATGAATATAATCCTTACAGTATGTAATAAATAATAAATGCACTTCACCTGTAAAGTATAAAGAAAGTTGTAGAGTTGGGTTACTATATTTTTTTATTTCTAGTTGCTATGGAGACCAAAATCTCGAAATCTAATCAAAGCTAAAAGCAGTCATGTGTAATAATAATACAGGTCTCACGCAACCTGTTCAGATGGACAAAGGAAATGGCATATGCAGATCACTATGAACGTGCACTAACTAATGGAGTCTTAAGCATTCAACGAGGAACGGAGCCAGGAATCATGATATATTTTCTCCCTATGAACCCTGGAGGTTCAAAAGCAGTGAGTGCTCAAGGTGGCTGGGGAACCCCTACTGCATCATTCTGGTGTTGCTATGGAACAGGTTTTGCTGCCTTCGCCTACATTTGAACTTGAGGCTTTTCTGTTTACTTTCGTGGCTTGACATTTCAAATTCTCTTCTGTTTCAGCTATTGAGTCATTCTCGAAGCTTGGTGATTCCATCTATTTCGAGGAAGAGGGTGATACTCCAACGTTATATATCATTCAGTTTATCTCCAGCACCGTTAATTGGCTTTCAGGAGAACTGGTCCTACAGCAGAAAGCACAGCAAGTTTCTTCACTTGATCGCTACTTCCGAGTTCAGTATACGGTTTCTACGACAAACAAGGTAAAGAACTCCACTTCCACTTATGTAAATAATTCAGGAGTAATATATAGTATTGAGAGGGAAAGAAACAAGTTTAAGGTGATCATTATAGCTCTGGAACTTCGATCAAGTTTTATTTTGCAGGTGGTATCTAAAAATTCCACGCTGAACATTCGGATACCGGTTTGGACTTATAATCATGATGCAGTAGCTACGATAAATGGACACACAGTAGCAGTACCTCCTCCAGGTATCAACTTGTTGTTTGAAGTGTTGACAAACTTTGAGAATCTAATCCAACTGTTTGCTGATGAACGCAGGAAATGTTCTATCCGTCAACAAGAGCTGGAGCAGAAAAGACCAGTTGACCTTATCATTGCCAATTGGGTTGAGAACAGAAGCCATTCAAGGTCAGTTGCTGAATGCAACCTGTAGCTTGTTATATCCTCCCCAAATGCTTGTTATTGGGAGACAACCTTCAATTTTCTATTTCTGCAGATGATCGTCCCCAGTTCTCATCACTCAAGGCATTGCTGTTTGGACCATACCTTCTTGTTGGGCTCAGCTGTGGCACATGGGATTTGAGAACCCAACAAGCCAACCATAGGCTCTCAGATTGGATATTGCCTGTTCCACATGACCATAGAACAAGGCTTGTATCTCTTACCCAAGAGACTTCCGATGCTACTTTGTTCCTTTCGAATCTAAATGCCTCCACCTACGACAAGAAGCGCATGCTCACCATGGAAGCATCACCGCAACTTGGAACAAACGCAGCTGCCCAAGCCACATTTAGACTTGTTTTCGGGAACCAGAAAGCATCACGATTCCCTTCCCGGAAGAGCATCATCGGCAAAATCATCATGCTTGAACCATTCGATCTCCCAGGAAAAGTAGTGCAGCACCAAGGGCCCGGCAAGAGGCTCGTCGTTGCCGTTACGTCGAGGAATTCTAACACTAGAAAGGCATCAAAGTTTCTGGTGGTTGAAGGATTGGATGGGAATTCGAACACTATCTCGCTGGAGTCGGCGAGCATGCCTGGTTGTTTTGTACATCACGATCGCTCTTCGAGCAATGGTGTTAGGCTTCTTTGCCAAGCTAAGAAAGCCGGTCGCCGCGGTGCTGCGCTCGGGAGATTGGCAAGCTTTACTCTCAGGCAAGGTCTGAGTAAGTATCACCCTATCAGCTTCACGGCAAGGGGAACCAGAAGAAGCTTTCTGTTCCAGCCATTGCTGGGCCTTAGAGATGAAACGTACACGACCTACTTCAACATTATAATTTGAACTCCAGCTGGTTGACTTCCCAAGACCTTTTGACTTGTCTTTCTCCTCCTTCTCCTCTCTTCTTCTTAAAACTAATAAGTCATGCTCGGTTGTAGTTTTTGAAGTGTTGACTCCGGAAAACTAAGTTTTTATAAGCTCTGGTTTCATGTATAAATTCTGCACCTTTGAATTATTTCTCCGATTCTTATTAATCCAATTGATAACAAATAGTAAACCAATTTCGATTTTTTTTCTTCAAATTTGAGAAAAAGAGAACAAAAAAGAAATTGTGATTTGTGTAACAAAACCAACAAGCCACAGATCTTTTCCGTGAGTTGGATCTTTTGTTGGTAACGGAGAGTTGAACAGCAGATTAAATCGAGCATTAGTATCGTTCGGTAAACCGTACGATCAAATGGCGATAGTGTTGATGTTGATAGGAAGAGGGGATGGAGTTATCAAAATAGAGGAAGAGTATGACAAGCTTTCAATCTTCTATATTTCTCTCAAGAAAAATACTTTTACAATTTCAGAAACTCTATTTCACTCATGACCCATCATATGGGGTTTATATAGTCTCCAAAGATACATTATATTAATTGTATTCAAGATGAATCATTCTCTTTCAAGAAACCCTTTCAAGAACCAATAACTAATTTGACTTATCCTTCTATAGACTTTTAATCCATTTTTTCTTCTTGATGTAATGATTCTCCCACTTGATGCAATGAACCTTTTTATGCCTCTTGAACAAGTTTAATTCCAACATTCTCCCCTCTTAAACTTGTTCCATCCAGCATACCAAGTTTTCTTCGAAGTTGTTGAAATATTTCAAATTTAAGAGGTTTTGTGAGTATATCAGCCACTTGTTCACTTGTCTTGACATGATGTATCTTCACTTCTTTATTTTTTATATGATCTCTTATGAAATGAAATCTTGTATCGATATGCTTCGATCTTTCATGATAGACAGGATTCTTGGCTAAGGCAATAGCTGATTTGTTATCAACATAAATCTTGGTTGACTTCTCCTGTGGCATATGAAGTTCTTGGAGTAATCTTCTTAGCCATATTGCATGACAAACACTAGAAGAAGCTGCTATATATTCTGCTTCACAACTTGATAGAGCAACGATTCGTTGCTTTTTTGAAGACCAAGTGAATGTAGCTTTACCAAAATAAAATACAAATCTAGTTGTACTCTTCCGATCATCGTAGCTTCCGGCCCAATCACTATCACTATATCCAATGAGCTCCAACTTTTTAGATGATGAATAGAACATTCCATACTCAATTGTTCCTTTGATATATCGCAAAATTCTTTTAGCGACATTTAAATGAGATGTCTTTGGAACTTCCATAAATCTACTTATTAAACCAACTCCAAATAGTATATCAGGTCGAGTGCATGTCAAATACCTTAAACATCCAACTAGACTTTTAAAATAAGTTGGATTAATGTATGTACCTTCACCTTCCTTGGTCAACTTGGTGCCATATTCAATAGGTGTATCTGTAGGATGACAATCTTCCATGAAAAACTTCTTTAAAACCTCCTTTGCATAATTTTCTTGTGAGATAAAAATTCCTCCATTATCTTGGATAACTTCGATACCAAGGAAATAAGTCATTAAGCCCAAGTCGGTCATCTCAAATTCCTTTTTCATAGAGTGCTTAAAATCTTTAATCATGGAGCTACTATTGCCTGTAAATATTAAATCATCTACGTACAGGCATACAAACAAGATATCTCCATTAGAGTTAGATTTCGTATAGAGAGCATGTTCATGTGGACATTTAGAAAAACCATTTTGAATAAAATAAGTATCTATTCGAGAATTCTATGCTCGTGGGGCTTGTTTAAGCCTATAAAGAGCTCTCTTTAACTTGTATACTTTGTCTTCTTGTTCTTGAATAATAAAACCAAGGGGTTGTTGAATATATACCTCTTCTTCAAGAACTCCATTAAGAAATGCTGATTTGACATCCATTTGTAAAATCTTCCATTTCATTTGAGCTGCTAGAGAGATAAGTAATCTTACTGTCTCCAATCGAGCAACTGGAGCAAATACTTCTTCATAATCAATTCCATATTGTTGTTTATATCCCTTTGCAACCAATCTGGCCTTGTATTTCTCCACCTCTCCTTTTGCATTTCTTTTTGTTTTGAAGATCCACTTAACACCGATAGCTTGGTGGTCTTCTGGAAGTGTAGTAAGCTCCCATGTATTATTTTTGTTAATTGCATGAATCTCTTCATTCATAGCTTATCGCCATTTTTCATCTCTATAAGCTTCTTCGAAGGTTAATGGATCATATCCTGCAAAAAGACAAAATAAAGAAAGTTCATCATTGTTAGTATCAATCCTTCAAGTCACATCATATAGGTCCTGAATTGGTCTTGTCATTCTTATAATTGGACTTCTTGAATCATATGACCTAGCTGATCTAGGTGATGATTCTGGCAAAGCAACTTCGGTGCTTGCTTGTATTATATCATTTTCTTCTGAAACTACAGCTTTCTTATGCTGCTCATCACTTTTCCAATTCCAAATCTGTTGTTCATCAAACTCAACATCTCTTGACATCACAACTTTATTTGTGATAGGATTGTAGAGTTTGTAACCACTGAAATTTTCTGGATAACCTAGAAAAATGTATTTTTGACTTTTATCCTCCAATTTTGTTCTCTTCTCTTCTGGTATTTTGGCAAATGCAACACTTCCAAAAATCCTCAAATGATCAACTCTTGGTTTTTGTAAGCTCCATGCTTCTTCTGGTGTAACATTGCCAATTCGCTTTGTCGGAAACCTGTTAAGCAAATAAACTGCACAAGCAACAGCATCACCCCAAAATTCTTTCGGAATTTTTCTTTCCTTTAACATGCATCAGACCATATTAAGTATAGTCCTATTTTTTCTTTCCGAGACACCATTTTGTTGAGGTGTGTATGGCATGGTGAATTGATGTAGAATTCCATTATTTCTATAAAAACTTTCAAATTCATTTGATATATATTCACCACCTCTATCTGTTCTTAAACATTTAATCTTACAACAACTTTGTCTTTCAACCAAATCCTTAAATTCTTTGAATTTGCTTAAAACTTCTTTCTTTTCTTTTAACATGTAAACCCAAGTTTTGCCATTATGATCATTAGTAAATGTAAGAAAATACCTGCTTCCTCCAAATGTTACTGGATTGATAGGGCCACAAACATCCGAGTGCACCAGATCGAGTCGATGCCATGCTCTTTTTGTTCTTCTCACTTTGAAAGGCTTTCTTTCTTGTTTACCCATGACACATACTTCACATAGTTTTGCTGGGCGATCAATTTTTTGGCATTCCTGTCACCATATTATACTTTTCTAGAAGTTTCAAAGCCTCAAAATTTAAATGAGCATATCTAAGATGCTAAAGTGTAGAAATATCCTCAATATCAGCTTTAAAACAATTTGATTGATCAAAAATACTTAAATGCAGAGGAAACATTCTATTCTGTGCCATTTTCACATGTGATATCATTGTTTTATTCTTATCACGAATTGAAAGAGCCATATCTTTCATCTCAATTTCATAACCTTTTTCAAGTAATTGTCCCAAGCTTAAAATATTATTTTTCATATCAGGAACATAATAAACATCTGAAATGCATACTTCCTTGCCATTATTAAGTTCAAGGAGAATTTTACCTTTGCCTCTTACTGGTCTTTGAGACAAATCACCAAATGTAATGTTCCCGGAATAACTTGTATCTATTTCTGAAAATAGCTCTTTGATGCCACACATGTGATTTGAGGCTCCTGTATCTAGATACCATGTCATAGACTGATCATTTTTCAAATTTTCATAACTCATTAGCAAAACTTGATTTTCCTTCTTTTCTTCCTCAACAAAATTTGCCTTATCACCTTGATTGTTAGGATTATAATAACATTCATAAGAGTAATGTCCATACATTTTGCAAACATAGCATTGTATTTCAGACCTTTTAGAGTTTCTGCCACGTCCACGACCTCGGCCATGTCCTCGACCATAACCTCGGCCTCTTTGGCTATAATTTTCTCCAACATCTTCACTGTTTGGAGATTCTTGATTGGTCTGATTTCTGCCTCCTCTTCCTCTTTGTCCTCGTCCTCTTCCTCTTTGAGAGTTTGATTCTCGTTTATTTTCAAGAGTAAGCTTCATTTGTAATGCTTGCTCCATAGTTTTCTTTTCTCCTCTTTTTGTAATCCTTTGTTCATGAACTTGAAGGAAACCCATAAGTTCTTCTAAAGACATTTTTTCCAAATCTTTAGATTCTTCAATCGCAACAGCAATAAAATCAAATTTCGGATCTAGAGATCTCAATATTTTTTCTATTACTCTATGATCATTTACTTATTCACCGTTTCGTCTCATTTGATGAACAATAGAAATGATTTTTAAGAAGTAATCAAAAATAGTTTCAGAAGTACCTTGTTGTAGTTTTTCAAACTCGGCTCGTAAAACTTGTAGACGAAGTTTCTTTACCTTATCAACACCACCGAATGCTCTTTGAAGCATTTCCCAAGCCTCCTTTGAAGTATTTGCTGGAGCGATGATCTCGAACATTGTATCATCAAGGCCTTGGTAGATTGTGAACAAAGCCTTTTTCTCCTTCTTCCTTCTTTCTTTGAGTTGTTTTCTTCCTTCTGCATTCATTGCTCCTTCTTCTGCTGGACTTGGTTCAGCAAATCCATCTTCTACAAACTCCCATACATCTTGGGAGCCTAGAAGAACTTTCATTTGGATGCACCATATG